GCACGTATCTTAGGTGATAAGGTCTTCAAAACACGGTATAAAAATTGAAAATAGGAAAAAATTGCGGTATTTTTCAACATGGAACTCCGTTTTCGTAGTCTGAGCACATACCTGAAGAAATATACTGCTTTTCGACGACTGTGCATCTGCACGGAGCAGGTAATAAAAGGGGATAGAAAAAACGGCCATCTTTATATACTCTCTTCTTCTTCTTCTGAACCTGAAGTAACCTGAAGTTGTTTTGTTTTTAAGTTTTGTTGTTTACTTTTGAAGTTATTTACATTATTTACACGATTTCACTTTTCAATAGGACAATAGTTTTTATGACAATTTAGTGTTATTGACTTGTCTTAAGGAATATATTTTGTACTCTTAACGCCTCCTTCAATGGTATCTCCTTTTAAAAGGGAAAAAAAACGTAATAATGAAAGCGAAGATTTTTATTACATTTTGAAAAGATCTACAACAGGGGAGAGTCTTAAATTTAGTGCAACTGGTTAGACGGAGAAAAATTTTGAGAGCAGAACACAACTATTCGTAAGTGCCATATATGTTTTGCATATAAAATTTTTTATATTATCAACCGTTATTGTTTACTTTATTATAAGAGATTTTTTGTTGATTTAGTGTAAGCCCCCAAAAAACCAAAAGAAAGTACGACAAGAAGTGATCATATTGAAGGAAGAAAGAAAGTGCATAGAGCCAAACAAATTATAAAGATATTTTAAAAAAGTGTTGTCTTTAAGCGCGGATCTGTTTTGAGGTGGATGTGAGAGGGGGCAAGCAATTTTTTTCTTTATTACCTTCAGTACAACTCACATAATAAAAGTGTAGATTACCCTAGATTTGGGCAAGATCCGGAATATTTTCAAAATTGCAAAAATGTTTAAAAATTTTAAAAAAATACCTATTTTATCTGAGTTTCTTACTTATATCTTGGAACCTATGCATTTTGGAAGAATATTGAAGACGAAAAAAGTTTTAGAATTGAATTTTGCATAATAGGCTGTAAGTTAAAAATGTTTAAAAGCTGATTTGAAAATTAAAAGTAGGAACTCTGCCGAAATTTAGCCAAGAGTAAAGTATTGAAAAAAAAAACGTCTCCCAGCAGTGTAAGCAGGGAATATAGCCGGCTACATTTTCTTCAATTTTCCAGTCGCAAAAAAGTACAACAAGATCCAGTCAAAATCAATTAAAAAATTCCATCCAGTAATAGTAACACCAAACTGAAGGAGAAGCCAAACGACGAAACTCACCATTTTGGGAATCAAATGAACGGAACAGCACTAACAGCAGCTAAGAAGTACAGTGCACTGACTCAGAAAACAGATTTCAAATTTCAAATAAGGAACATTAACAAGGCAATGTTGCAAAATAGCAATAATTGAAAAAAAAAGGAAAAATTGGATAACTTTTTTAAATTTTAATTGCTCCGAGGGCATTCTAATTTTAGTAAAAAAAAAACTTTAGAATATTATAAAACAACACACCGGTTCAATAGTTTTCGCAAAATAATCTTTTCAAAGAAATTTTGAAAAAACTTTTTCGAATTTTCAAAATGTTGCACAGCCTCAAATAAAGCATCTAAATACTTGAAAATTTTATCACATAGGAAAGACAGCTCAACCTTTCAAATAGTTATTGAAAAATTGAAATCGGTTTATTAGGACGGCCACAGTAAATTTTTAAAGTTAACACTTTTTTTTATTATTTTTAAACAATTAGATTACATTTATCAATTTGCAATTTAGTTTTTTTTTCAAAAATTATAATTTTAAAGAACTATTTTTTCTTAACTTTATCTGTATTTAACAAAAAAATTAATTTCCAAATAAAACTTCTTTAAAATTTGTTTATACAAAAATTATTTAAATAATTGTAGTAATTATAAGTAAGTATATTCATATTCAGAAATACATAAACAAATTTTTTCATTGAAAAAATGCAATAGCATAGGGTAAAATATACAGTTTATTTAACGCATAAATAATAAACATTGTTTATAACAAAATATGTGCAAATTAGACAGTTGGCATTACGATATTCGAATTCCTTGGCTAGTGAGACATCGGATCACCCTGTACGTATATCTGATTACCATGGTCATATCAATTCACCCCGATCTACGGTGTGACTTGATACAGCAACATATTTTTTTAAAACTAGCAGATCATTAATATTATAAATATAATACTCTGTGACCTTAAAGTATAAAAAGGGATTCAAATTTTGATATAAATACGATTAATATTTGTTGAAAATTTTCTGAGATATGGTTGTAAAAATTATGAACTTTAGGGGTTATTATTTTTTTTGTTTTCCAGAAGTGCGTTTCTGGTTTATTTAGTTTATTTATTCTTTTGATTTAATATTTTATATTTAGTTTTATTAGAATTACATAAATGGAGTAGGTAGCTTGAACAGAACAGAATTGAACAGAATTACTGGAGTTAATTTATAGTCAACAAATTAAATAAAAAATCGTCACTTACCGTTTTCATGATGCAAATGTTGTTATTTATTATGGTCGACAACTGAATGTCTTATTTTGATTTCTTTCAGTTTATATACTTTTTTGCTACACCCACAAAAATCTAGATGATTACAGAAAGCAATAATTTCAACAATTATTTTGAATTCTTTTGTATTTGTATTGAAGTTTTATTAAAGTAATTATTAATCTTAATAAAGCGAAAAATTAATATTTCAACCAAGAACTGATACGTATATAAGATTTCACAATCAACATTCATAATCAAGTTCTCTCAAGTCGATTTTAATCTAGTAGGTACATAATCTATGATAATGTATGTTTCTGAGGAAATCATTAAATACAGGGTAGCCCATCGAAAACGTACCGCAAGGCATTACAGGGTAGTAATGAACTTTTCGGCAAAATCCAAAACAGGTAAAGTTTGCTTCTGAGGGGGACAACTTTTGGCGCAAAAAGCATAGCAAAATCTTCAACCCCCTAAGTGGGGGTGCCATCCCCCAAATTTTTTTAAATGGGAATGGGGGTCAAGTGGGGGGTCATTAGAAAGGGCTTTTAATTCTCTATACATCGATTCTTACTTTTTGAAAATCGATCCATTATTTTAGAAAATATGCAGCTTTGAAAATACGAACAATATTTTTGACGAGAAATGCGAAAATCGATTTAATTTTACTTCAAAACTTACGGTATTAGCTTGGTAAATTCCTTCAAAAGAATTCGCTGTTTTTTTTTTTGATTTGCGAATTCTTTAGCCTGATTTTGGTGAGCAAAAAATTGTCCGCTTTTTGTTTCGTATTTAGATAGGCCACAAGAAGTTGCTAGATAACTGTCTTGTGACTTGTAGTTGAAGAGTACCAATACTGCCGAGTCTTTTAAATTGATTAATTATGGTGTACTCAATTCCAGAAAGAGTAGAAATTATTGAGCTTTTTTTCAAAAACAATGAATGCGGAAATCGGGTCGCCGAACTGTTCAACCAACGGCATCCTGAGAAACATGCGTCTGGAAAAATTGTTCGCGAATTGGTGGCCAAATTTCGCGAAACTGGCTCCGTTCATAACAAAAAGAGGCAGGTTGAAAATCCGGTACTAAATGAACCTACGGAAATAGCGGTATTGGGGCAAGTGGCAATGGATAGTACGCTGAGTACAATGCAATTGGCTACTGCGACAGGAGTGAGTCGTACAAGTGTCCAACGAATATTAAAAAAATACAAATTCCATCCTTATAAGATTCGGCTAGTGCAAGAGCTAAATGAAGACGATTTTGATCGTCGTTTGCAATTTTGCGAAATAATGACTGAACGAGCGATAAACGATAATTTCCTCTTTAATGTGTGTTTTTCGGACGAGTGTACGTTCTTCTTGAATGGTTTAGTGAATCGCCATAATTGTCGTTACTGGGCTGATACCAATCCAAGGATTTTCCATGAGACACACTCCCAACACCCCCAGAAGTTGAATGTATGGGCAGGTATTTTTGGAAATTCCATTGTAGGTCCTTTTTTCCTTCCTGGAAATTTGACAGGCGATATGTACTTGGATTTACTACAAAATGTCATCGACCCAGCTCTAACAAATATCATAGAGGACGACCCTGCTTACAATGAACACGAACTGATTTTCCAGCAAGACGGAGCTCCTCCACATTACTCGCTCAATGTGCGCAATTACCTAAATGAGACGTTTCCAGGACGCTGGATAGGACGAAGAGGTGCAATTGAGTGGCCCCCTCGGTCACCCGACTTAAATCCTTTAGATTTCTTTCTCTGGGGGCACATTAAAAGCAAAGTTTACAGCACTCCACCTGATACCTTGGAAGATCTGCGAGGACGAATCATTAATGTATGTCGCGAAGTAACACCGCAAGTGCTCCAGAATGTTCGACAACGGTTTGAAGACAACCTGTATCATTGTATGCAAGTTGGCGGACAACATTTTCAGCATTTACTTGACTAATACCGTAAGTTTTGAAGTAAAATTAAATCGATTTTCGCATTTCTCGTCAAAAATATTGTTCGTATTTTCAAAGCTGCATATTTTCTAAAATAATGAATCGATTTTCAAAAAGTAAGAATCGATGTATAGAGAATTAAAAGCCCTTTCTAATGACCCCCCACTTGACCCCCATTCCCATTTGAAAAAATTTAGGGGATAGCACCCCCACTTAGGGGGTTGAAGATTTTGGTATGCTTTTTGAGCCAAAAGTTGTCCCCCTCAGAAACAAATTTGACCTGTTTTTGGATTTTGCCGAAAAGTTCTTTACTACCCTGTAATGCCTTGCGGTACGTTTTCGATGGGCTACCCTTTATAACGAAAACCAATCAAAATCTGTATTGATAAGACTTATGGAATTACAATAAAGTGTTAACAATTATATTTCTTTAATTAAAAGTTAATTGAGGATATAGCTAATAATAATTATGTAAAATTATGAAAGCCCTACACAAATTTAGAGATAATCTTGTACCAATTCAAATTGATTTATTTGTTATTGAAATTTCACAATCATATGAATCACTCTAAACGTTAAGTGTTGAATGGGTATTAGGAAGGGATTGATCAAGTCTAGTATTTTAGTTTTAATACGACAATCGCTTTCACAATGAAACAAGTAAGTGTATTTTCTTAAATTTTAAATCATTCTATTTTTACATGGTGTTATTTAGTGGGTATATTCAAACTGTTCTTAAAAAATTTAACAACAATCCTAATTTAAGACAGCTATGACTAGAATGGTATTTTAGTTCTAATACGACAATCGCTTTCACAATGAAACAAGTAGGTAAGTGTATTTTCTTAAATTTTAAATTATCCTATTTTCACATGGTTTTATTTTGTGGGTATATTCGAATTGTTCTTACAAAATATAACAAAAATGCTAATTTAAGACAGCTATGACACAATATTATTGCAAAAAGTATATATTTCATTATTAGATCTCTATCTATCTAGATTTATTTTCAATTTCAAAAAATACAAAAATATAAATTTTTAATAAAAGTAGTGTACCACAATAATACCTATTAAACAGCTAGTGATAAATAATAATTGTCCAATATAAAAATTGAAAATAATTTGTCTAAACATAATTAATACAATAAACATGAAACTGAAATTGTTAAACAATGCAATCATTCAAAAAAATATCCTGTATTCTTGCTGCCCTACTATCACCCTTGACGAAGAATAGTCACGTAAAAGAACAACTGTTATAAAGAAATCTTTCTGTTCCCACATTTTACTTAGAATTATTTCATCAGGCAGTTTCCCTTGTCGTACACAAATTCAATATTAACAAAAAAGAAACATCAAGAAAGAGATAATATTTTGAATAGACAGTATCAAAAACTTATGTACATGACTACATCGATTACAATTGGTTTCTATTTAATTACAATGGTTTTTTTACATAAGTTGATTGATTTAATTTTCTGACTGAAAAATTAATTTCTGTCTATTTGTCATAACGAGATTGTAAAATTAGTCATTCTACAAAATAACTAAGAGTTTTATAAGGCCGCCAAATTTTAAAAACTTCATTGACTGCGTTGTTTTACGGCTAGTCAGTTTGTAAAATGGCTGGGAGTTTCAAAGTAATTACAATTTTTTTTTAAATCAATTGAAACTTCACATTTACGACTTCTTTGGATTTTTTATCGCAGCTTCAGCGCTCGCAGGTTATTGCGCATTTACTTTAACGTGTCGTAGGTTATAGCGCATTATGATGGATCTGTCACGAGATTAGCAAGCGAATGTAGCAGCGTATCTACATAAGTATCTGCTTCATATAGTAGTGTTTTCGCAATTTTAGGTTAGAAAATCTTGTAATATTGAGGTTATGGAGCAGGTCCCACGGTGTTTTCAAATTCAGCGACTCAAGAAACATATAAGTACTATATATCTCGTTTTTGGATAAATTTTGTTTATTTACATTTTGTAACGAAATTGCTGAAGTACTAAACTTCAATCTATCATATCTCTATGGAAAAAAAAAGATTTTAGAAGAAATCGAAGTGCGCTTAGAAGGGTAAGAGTGGTACTTTGAGATGGTTCAACGCAATTTTAGAAAAAAAAATTAATTCACATTGTAATCTGACCCTGAATATAGCTAAAAACCGTGATTTTTGCACTTTTAGGTTAGAATATCTCGAGAACCTAGGATGATGGGCCATTTCTGAGCTGGGATTCATAATCAGCGCACCAAAATCCTTTGGGTACACTAAATCCGGTCTCTGGTTCAAGACTTTCGTAAAATTTTGTCGGCCTTTGTTATTATTGATTGATTAATTATTAATTGAAAAGTAAGTAATTTTTTTATTGACAATATTTATAAATTTCAATGTTTTTACGTCATAGAATTGAATGTATGGGCTAGAATTGTACGTGACCATTTGTTCAGACCATATTTCTGCTTTGAGGGCTTAATATATTCTAATATATAAATTTTGTATAAAACCGTCTTAATCATCAGAAAATACCCTTTAGATTTACAATAACGAAATGTGATATCTCCATGACGGTACATCATTTTCGTGTTAATGTCAGACAATATTTCCACATACATTTTCCAAACCGATATATTGGAAGAGGATATAATACTTGTTCACTGCAATTACCTAACTTGAATCCTATTGATTTTTATTTATACTTTTAATCACAAATAATCGTATAATTTTTTTCCATGGTTTAGTTAGTTTTTTTTATAAAATTAATACAATACCCTAATAAATTTCAAAATTCAGTGGTCTTTCTATAAATCTTGTGATATTTAATGTTATTGTAGAAAAAATATTTGCAAAAAGTAGGATGCAAGAACAAGACAAAACACGTTTCCACACTAATGTTCGTAGTAATATACTTTATGGGACGTCTTGTATACCGTTGGGGTAGGATACTATTTTCTCTTAGACAATTACAAAAAATTTGATTGAAATTAATAAATTAAGTAATTACACAGCCCCACAAAAAAGAAATTCTGTACCAGAGACATGAGTATATAGATCTTGTGTAATTTTCAATGCTGAATGCTGAAATTTGTACCGTGGGTTTTTGGGGTAACTGATTACGATTGTAAAGTCCGAATCCGCCACTTCCTGAAAAGATGGCGAATCCAAATATGGCGGATGTAAAAATCTGAAATTACTTTTACTCTTTTAATTAGGTTATAATTCGGAAATTCTTAAATCCACAAAGACGAACCCATTTGACGGATTAAAAAGTACCATGGAAATTGGTACTTACCACAAACAACAAATGCGTTATGAATGTTTAAAAAATTGAGTAAAAATAGGCAAATGTCTAAAATGCGGATGAATAAAAATTCGGTTTGCAGTGTTTTGTCTCTTTCAAATACCCTTACCAATCCCAGCAGGGATTAATAGCAACATACGCTTAAATGGGAAATATAAGACGCACAAAATCAGTAAGACTTTAGAGCTAAAAATATAAATTTGTTCATTCAAGTAGCAAACTGTCTCAACTAAATTCTAACTAGCAGTTGCAGGGATGACAAAGTACGTCCCTTTAGTTTTGTGGATGCAGAGTAACCATCAAAAAATACACAAGATCTATATATTCATGTCTCTGGTACAGAACTTATTTTTTGTGGAGCAGCTGACATAAATTATCATGAAATTGAAACTAAATTAGTATTTATCTAAAATCGTAACGAAAGGAAATGGGAAAACACCTAAGCAATTTAAAGAATCCCTTGTCACGCCTGTTTTTAAGTCGGGGAATAAACAATTACCCAGAAATTATCGACCCTTATATATTTGCTGGAAATTATATGAATATTACCTACAATTTAGATCATTCAGTAATAAAATATAGGGTAAATCTAGGAGAGATGACGCACATTTTTTAAAATAATTATAAAACATATGTGAAATTAAAAATAAAGAGCAAAACTTCAGATTGCGTTAAAAGAGCTTACTAAGTTATAATATATGACTTCAAATATGACAAAATGTCGGATATTTTGGTAAAAACTAACATTTTTTTTTTCTTATGACTGCGTCATTTCACCTTAGGTATCGAGGAGAGATAACGCAGTATATTAAACGATCGCACATTTTTATTTTTTTCATAAATTTGTATTAAAGCTTCATATAATTTACTTTTGGTTTATTTTGAAACTTATTAATAATAATAAATATAAATACTCATTATTGTAGTTAGATAAAGAAGCATATACTCTGAACGAAAACGTAATTGTTTTCGTATAGTTCTTTATTTCTTCTCAAAAAAAATCTAACCATGCATACGTAGCCTGTCTTGCGAGATGTTCTGTTGAAATTGTATGGTAATTCTAGTTTTTCTGCTAACTCAAAAGCCATAAAGCGCATAAAGGATTTCGGTACAAATCCATGTGTTTCAACTTTTGCTTTACTAATTTATCCTATTGTGGGCTCCTAGTGTACTTGAAGGTCCAAACGATTTAGTTTGAGGTCTTCACATTTCCTTCGGCGTCGCAAAGTGCATTCGGGGCTACCGAATTCGCGACCTGCCTCAGGAATCTCATCTCTATCGATAGCACTGATTGCTCTAGACAACTGTTCTATTGTCCCCCCTCCCCTTCTAACGTTTCCATTTCTTTTATATTTCGTCGGTATGCTATAAACGATAAATTAATAACATTTCTGACAAAATAAAATTTTAAACGATTTGTCTATTATTGCGCCAACTCTCCTTACTCATACGTGCGTCAACTCACCTTACAGAATAAGGTGAATTGACGCAGCAACTTTTAACTAAATTCATTAGAGGAAATGTGTGAAATTGAGGTTAGAACTACTTAACTACTCATTATCTATAACAGAATCCTTGAAAACTTTATAAAAATATAACTTAACGTACCTGTATATTTACTGATTCTAAACGATGTAAAAATATTTAGTGTAACCTCAATAAATTTAACAAAATACCGGTGTTGTCAAATATACGCTATGAACAATGATTGTGCCAGATCGAGCAGTGCGTCATCTCACCTGATGCGTCATCTCTCCTAGATTTACCCTACACGCAAACCATTTTTGACACTAACTACCCATTTTTGACACAAACTACTAAAAAAACTATTGTAAACACCACAGATAACAGATAAATACTATTGCAACGACGATTGCAAAATCCGATTTCAGTATTCGGAGTCTCTGAGGCCACGTGGCTCTCCACGCGTATTGCGAATGACGCTAGAGACTACAGTTGTCCGGCTATATAGTCGTTGAATGTACTATAACTTCAATAATTTTTTTCTCCGAAACTATAAGGATTTTACAAAAAAATTTTTTACGATATTGACTCCATTTCTCATGCCGCATCTATTCCCAATTTTTTTTGGATAACTTGTGAATCACCCTGTATATCAATCGTAGTGTAGAAANAAAAAAAGTAGGGGTAGCTGCGGGTTAGGGGGTTGAAGAAAAATTAATTATTATATAACTGAAAGATGGGAAAAAATCAAAATCAGTTAACGTATTTCGGCGTTTTAAAAAAAATTAACTCATTCAAAAGATATGAATTTTATTCCGTACTTCTGGCCATCCCTGTATGAATATTACCTACAATTTAGATTATTCAGTCAGTCACCTGATAAAATATAATATATTATCTGACAATCGATTTGTTTTTGTAGAATCAACCGAAAATGGAATTTATTAGTTAACTAAATATGAATATTGCAGATGGAATAAACTAAGGAAAAATGTATTTAGCTTATATTTCTTGAACAACGTAAGGCCGTTCATACAGTAGACGTGAATGGCATATATGGCCCGATGACGTACCCCAGGGGACGGATTTAGAACCAGTACTGTTTTTAACTTGTGTAAATGATTTATTGAAACTTCAAATAAATGACAACATAATGTTTTATGTAAACAACACTGATGCTGTTATTGTATTTGTGGGTGGGTAAAAGTATACATTAGTGTAATACGTGCTAAGTCTTAATATTGATAAAACTCATCATTTAACAAAAAATATTTACTGTATTTGCATATATTTATAAATCTTTGGTGAAATCAGTTTTAAAATTTAATGTGGTATGGTATTTATGAAAACACTTTTTTTTAATTACCTAAATGTAACTCAAAAAATTGTATTAAACACTATTTTAAAAGTAGATCGTCTTCTTCCTTCTAATTTGGTATACAAAGTATTTGGATTTTTGAAGACTAGAAAATTATTAATTAATTTACTTATTTAGCACCTACACTATTTAACAGAATATATCCAATTACGGAATGTTGAGAAACACAATATGTAATATAAAAAGAAAATAAATAGTTGGTAAAATAGAAACTGTTTGAAGAAAAATACTGTAAAATAACAACTAAGAATTAATAAAACAGTAAATTACTATCAATTAAAATAACAACAGTGTAAAAATGGTTATTTATTTTTTTATTTCCAAATTTAGGTTACAGGCTAAAAGTCCAAAACTGCATCCAATAATGCAAAAAAAAAAATTAACTGAACATTGATAGTGAGAATTAATACTAACTTAATTACAGAAACAGTGGAATAACTTAAAGAACTTAAAGATCGACAACAAATTATACTTATATTAAAACAAATTTATATTCTTAATACTTTTTTAAAATTACTTAAAGCAACATTAAAAATATCCAATCCAGAATCGATAAGGTAATTGTTTTAGTGAGAGGAATGCACTATTTAAACCCAGATTGGTATGCTGGGTCACTAAACTAAATATATTCACACCTCTGGTAAATCTAGAGGAAACATGAAAATTTATTAAAGAAATTAGATGGGGGCAGTTGTGCAGATTGTTCAATAATTTGATTAATATTAACAAATCAGTAAGAATCCTCCTATGTTCAAGTATCTTGATGTTATATTGCTGCTTTGTTATTTCTATATCGTGAAAATTAACCCTAAAATTAAGATATCGAACAAACCTATTCTGAGTTCTTTCCAACCTTATTTTATAGGCATTATAATTAGGATTCCAGATAATGCAAAGTTTAGTCTACTGTATATACAGGCGTAGTACAATGATTTAAGACGTCTTTCATTTCTAAATTCTCTGCATGTCCTAATTATAAATCCTTACATTCTTAGACACTTGACCACTATATAACCACATAATGTCCAAAGTACAACCTACAGTCAAAGATAACACCTAATCCTTAATTTATGAAACGCGTTCAATCATCTAAGTGTTAATATAATAATTAATTAAAGTCATATGGGCTAAAGTTATTAGTGAACATAATAGAATGACATTTGCTAATTATTTAATGAAAGTTTAAATTTATAGCAATATTGTACAAGGCTGTGGATATCTTCCTGTATATATTCACAATCTTTAAAAAAAGAAGCCATGTGATAAATTTTTAGATCATCAACATAAAGGAGAAACTTAGAATTTTTAATATATCCACCCATGTCCTTAATAAAAACAAGGAATAACAGGGGTTCAAGATGGGCGCCCTGAGGAACACAAGATGTACTGTGAACTAATTTAGAAAAATGCCCATTAATTGCTACCATTTGTGAGCTATCTAAATGTAAGAAGTAAACCAACGTAGGAATTTACCATGTACAGGTATACTGATCCCAGCTTATTACTTTGTTAAAATAAAATTCAATAAAATAAAAAAAATAATAATAAACAGCCAGTTAAAAGTAAAAGTGTTTTATTGTTGTTCGGTATTGTATTTTTAAACTTGAAACTATAAATAGCTATTAAGAAATACATATGTATGTAAAGGGAAAATTTTTGAGAAATTTTTAGATCCTGTATATAAATTAGTACTACTGATTCATTTTGTTTTTAATTAATCCAGAAGTTTTAATTCCCATCATTCTTGTATAGTTTTAAGTAATTGGTATTATTAAATAAGTAAAATATAATAATGTAATATAAAGTAGGAACGCGCCATAATAGATACTATCGACGTATTGTCTGTGCCATATAATTATTTAATTAGGTACTTATCTAATTGTAAGTTTAGTCTTATTTGAGAGCCACACCCAAGCAACTCGTTGATTAAGCGCCTCATGATAGAAATATATTCTGTTTCTTATAAAATTGTTATCTATATCTGCAATTTTGTCTCTTCATGTCCATGCTCTGGAATTAATAAATTGAATTTATATTAAATTTTACGTAATTTGCATTGTAAAAAATTCCAATAAGTTTAATGCATGCTTTTATTACACGTTATCAAGCATAATACCTACAGATTAGACGGTCGCTCTGTGTCAGTAGACATGGAGTAGCAATGACATTTGATACATGACATATAATTTACAGGTTATATCTCACCCGCACTCAAAACATGTCGGTCGTCTCAGCCATGGTACCACTGATGAGAACTAATACGTTCGAAATTAGTCCATGCCTGCTGATTCCGTTAACGACTAATCTTAGCTGTTTACTGAATATTCCGTATGCTAGAAGGAACCTGTCGCTCGCAGAGTAGTTGATTCCCACAATATCATTAATGAAAAACATTTACTATTTTAGTGTAAGTTCTTTTCACTGTCTTATACTTTAATTATACATAAATAATTGTAATAAATAATATAAATAAATATCCCATGATTTCCTTTACTTCAATTAGTCACATTTACATGTTTAACACGTTGACTGCGAGATAATCTCAATGTACTTTGTCCGTGACTGCGATACATATCTTCGGGGATATGTAACAAAACTTCTTCTGTGTGCGGTACATATCCCTGGGGATATGTATTTTTTTACATTTGACCCTATAAAATTAAAAATAACACAATTATTGCTATAAACTTGCGTGTATCTGTAACTATATATCCTAGGATACTAACGTTTTCATTCGCAAAGAGTTTTGAAAAGAAAATAATAGAAAAATCATTATTTCTAGAAACTACAGATTCTGCAACTTCCACAGATACATAATAATGTGATTATTGAGATTCGCATATTTTTTATAATGATATACCCCCCGAGGTATGTACCGCAGTCAACGTGTTAAGGTATGGTTGAACTATTGGCACACTCACTTCAAAAGTTTTACAAAAAGAGACTCGCACATAACCATTTGTCTAACTCACGATTATTCATCATATTACTGAAAATTAATATTAATTCCACTTTTCAAAGACCCTTTACTTTTACCGAAAGCTTTTTTGAAACCTGATATTCTCGTATTTGATAATACATCCTTAGTCCTATTTTCAAAGTTTAGTTTGCGAGTGGATTTAGATTAGAAACACTTTTACCGTTAAATATTCGTCCCGAATTTTCTGAAATTCTTTGAGAATGAGAGCCAATATTTCTCGCAAGATTGTTTACTAAGTAGTATAAAGTACAAAAAGTTTTCGTTTCTTCGTGTTCGTAATGGAACAGAAAACTTTTACATAAAGAACGGAAGTGCGGTTAGGAGAGAATTTCACATTTTAATCTTTAAACGAAGTTAAACAAGTAAAGGGAAATAAAGGGTACATAAATACAATATGCATGGAAAGAGGAATAATTTGTTATTTCTTGGATAAAATTTGCAGATTTTTAAAAATAAGAGGAAAAGGATTTGCTTAAATTGTTCAATCTACGGAGTGTTTCTAAAATACATCATACATCTTAAGGGAGTGGATTCGGAAATAATAATGGTAGATAGTCAGGATTTTTTTTCTAAGTGTCAATTGTTTTCAAGATACACCTTGTCAAAGCTCAATTTTATAATATAATTATTTAAATATGTAATTTGTTTAATTTAATGGCTATTAATCTCATATTTGGCAAATAAACTACGTAGATCTATCGTGCTAATTAGAGAAAAGTTTCATTAGCCGCTAGAGGGCAGTCTCGTGTTAGTGATTATTGCTGATGTTGATATGTCATACATAAAAGGTAATAAAGAATACTTTGAAAAAAGAACTCTTTATTCAAGTCCTAAATCTAACCGTTCGGCAGTAAATTGAACCTAAATTATTATTGCAATTATCAACGGGAACGTTAAATAATTAAATAACACATAAACATTAAAATAGTAAAAAAGGTTATTCCCCATTTTCTTTAATACATTTCTTTTTATGTAACTAGAATTGCTTCAAACGAAAATTTTCATATAAACTTTTTATCCTAATAAGATATTTTTTTATAATAACTATTTTCTTAGTAATGCAATCTTTTTTCTTATATTTAAATATAACTAATGACTTAATTAGTTAATTGCCTCGTAATTCGGTGAAAAATCGCCATTATCTCCCTATAATAATATGGCATCCCTATATTATTTTCAATTAATTGGAGATTTTCAGTATCATCAATAAACTAATTGTTTTAAATTGCCCCAAAAGAAGAAATTCTTAGAATTTTTATCTGGTGGTCACGGTGCCCACATTAAGGGTCCATTTCGACCTATCCATCAGTGAGGAAATACTAGTCAGATGTTCGCGAACAGCTACACTGAAGTGTGGCGGTGTCCTGCCTTGAAGTATCCACATGTTCGTATGTCCAAAGGAACATCTTCTAGATAAAGAAGATTGAAGAAAATAAAGAACATTTCTATAAAAATTCCTTTTCGTACAAAAAGAAATATGTAACGTAACATTCCTTGTACATCTTCATAGAAGCATTTCAACAACTTTAATATTTTCTGTTTACTTACTTTTTATAACTTTTTCTGAATTCTGAAAAGAAAGAAACACCCTGTAAAAAGATAAATTCCCGTCGAGTAAGTAATTAAGTAACGAGTCCTACAAAATTGTCCAAAACGAAGTCCTTATCAAGGAACTTATCATGAGATGATTTTCCCTGAGGAGATTACAATTTTCCTCTATTCTCTACCACAATTCGTTTCTTGTTCATAAGCCCAACAAAGACTGCAGCTTCAGAAATCAGTTAGTTATAATATTAAAACGCGATCATCATAAAGCTTACCAACTGAATGCAGACAAAAGATTCAATTTTTGCTTAAGGATTTTAAACAAATGGGTAAGTTGACTAAATTTGTTCATTATGGTCGTAAATTAATTAAATTATCTCCTAAACGGCTGCTACTATTAAAAAATACCAAGAATAACTTTTCATTCATTTAACGTAATAGTTCTGAATTTAATAGTATTTCTACAAAAAATTGGTAGTGGCGTATTTTTTTCTTGGGAAAACGAAGCAGCACCTCCAGTAGCACGCCACTGGTTAAAGCCACAAGGTTAATATTACATTCAATAAAATATCTAATTACGTGAATATGCTGTAATAAGAAGGGGGCCGTCTAGCCGGGTGTCTTGGCCGATGGATTTCGATCGGCCGAAGTAAGCATCACGGACGCAGGCTGGAACTTGGATGGGTGACCTAAGGCAGACTCGGGAGGTGGCTGTGGCAGCCTACTAGAGACCTGGGTCGCTCAACACCTTCCGCCTGCGTGTGGTCCCCGATAAGAATGGTAATGAGAATAGAGCAATAAATCTCTGTAACTCAAGACCATGCTATCATGCATAAAAAAAAACATAAAAAGTACTAGAGTAATGAAGGAAGATGTACAAGGGGCCTAATAAGGCCCCCCCGACATACATGCATACATGCTGTAATAAGTTTCACTCTAATCGTTCAGCGTACTATGTAGATATGACCGAAAATTTAATACATATTTTTTTTTGGAAACTGGAACACTATATCTCGAATACTACGCCCCCTGGAAAAAAGTTTACAGAGCGAACTCTACTTATGTTTTGGCAACTAATCTATTCCTGCAGTTATTTAAAGTATATCATCCTGTATGATGAAAAATGCCATTAAAGATTGTTTTTAACACTAGACTGTTTGGTAAAGACATGCATAACTGGTAGTTTTAATCATCATATAAATGATTAAAAATGGTGTTATTTCGCTGCATCTACACTGTAAATAAATCGGTCTGACAATGAGTGAAAGCAATAAAGATACGGAGTGAATCAATTGACTGAAATTATTGAGCACATTTTCAGTCAATATTAGGCATTTTAATAATTTTATACATTTTTGTTAATATTTCAACTAAAACTTAGAAATAGCCAACGATGAGCAATTTTGGGACTTAAAATTTTAGTTGTATTCATACTAATATAGAAGAATTTCACTCAATTGGGTGTGAACAGAAATTGATACATTATTGAATGAAATTGAGTGAAAATAAGTACAGTTTTTCTTACAGTGTAGCAATTGATTTTTTACTATGTAGTTCTTCTAAAAAAGGTATACATTAAGAAAGGGCAGCGTATCTACTCCAGTACCTACGCAAGATTTTTGAAAACGAGACGAAGTAGATGACATTCAAGAGTAAATCTCTAGAAAATTTGTAACACCGTTCTCATAAATACGAAATTAGAAAGATAGGGTTAACAATAAAATAAAAAATAATTTTGTATCATTTATTTCAAGAAATATTAGTATGCTGGTCCGAAAGGTTCATCTGGGTTAGGACGAGTTAGTGCTTTCAGTTCCTCAAAATCTTGTACAAACGCGTGAAACGCCTCTAAAGTATGTTTTTCTAATTTGTTCTTTATGCCAAAATTGCATTTTATGTAAATATACTGTCCAATATTTGGAGTAGGGCATCCAAAAATTGAGTGAGTTCAGTCCCATCAGATTGTAGGGAAATTCTTCAATTTTCGTCGGTTCCGTTTGTGTTATTCTGATAGATCTTTCGTAACATAGAGTGAGTGATTTCACTTTCATGTGGCAATTTTTAGTTTAGTCTAGTCTAGAAAACTATTAATTGAAGAAACATAATTAATACCAGGTTGGACCTCCTCTTGACTGTGCAACTACCTGACAGCATCTAAGGCATCTTTCTTATTAGATCATTGATTGCTGTCATAGTTTTTTTCCACAGTCCTGCCATGATATTTATAATTTCATGCTTTGAATGTGGTTGAAGCTGAAATTCTTTTTCAAGGATTGTTTCTGCCTGCTATACTTCTCCGCGCGCTCATCGCACTCAAATTCTGTTATCATCGGGATACAAAGAAAATCTTAATTGATAATTATCTTATTTTCGAGAGAATTGGTGATCCAGATCCAATCTCTTGTCTATCCTTGATGTCTAGCAGGTAGGTCTAGAGAGCGTTAAATAGTCTTCTGTTTTTGACTATTTAACGTTCTCTTCGGATTATGGCAGTATTTGTGATTATTTCTCTTAAAATCCTTCTTACCAAAGCTCTGCTTTCAGTTGCTGTAATCTTCTCCTTTCGCCAACATGATCATAGTCACAAGAATTATTGGTATATTAGCCATACTTACCTTATTAATTTAACTGATTGCTACATTGACTAACTGTGCAGTTATTCATTGCAAAATTACGTTTTCAATCATACCAATTGCCCTTTTCAAAAGAATCATTGAAATGCTTGATTTTCAGGATTGTTTGGGGGTTAAGTAAATTGAGTTGTTCTGCTTCTTCAATTAATAAAAAAATATTATCCTACTTAGAATAAACAATAAGAAACTTGGATAAAGTGAAA